CTGGACCCAGAACTAGAGCTAGCGGGATCAATGGCATGCTGGCCTATGCTGAACACCACCTGTTAAGGTGGAAGGTTTGGAAATAGGCAAATGACACATCTTGTGCATGTGAAATGCATGAAATCACAAGTGATGTCCCACCAGCTGGGCAAGACAGCCATGGCATTGTCCAAGTCACCACCTCCATCACCTGGCTGAGTGCTGGTGATGTAGGAAGTGATAAGCCACCCTGCTTCTTTCTTCCAGGTAGCTTGGGTGGAGAGTTGGAGCTGGGATGGGGAGAAGCTTCTGCTGTGGATCGGGCTGGGCTGAGTGTGGTAGAGCAGTACAGTGGTGTGGCTGGGCTAAGAATGGGCAGGGCTGGGTGTGTGTGCAGGCAGCATTGGTCACAGCTTGGGCGCTCTAGGCAAGGGGGTCCCTAGGCAAGAATTGGCTGGCTTGGTTGCCCATCTGAAGAAAATACCCTGTTGCTGGCAGTGGATGTAGGTTCCCCAGGATGAGTCTCACTCTGCCCCCCAGCTGGTGTCCAAACAAGGCTTCCTGTCATGGGCCGGTGCTTGAGACCTGGGTCTCTGCCATGGTGTTGAAAAGACTCCAGTTTCACCACGTTGGTGGTGAAATCCTCTTGAACAATGCAGTGGGGGTAGAAGTTGGGGCGCCTCTCTAGGAGCCAGCAGTGGAGCCCTTTCCTAGTGTTGATGGGCTCATAATTCAGTGGGCTACCAACCATATCCATCTCTGTCCTGAGTCTGACCAAACTTTAATGTATTCTCCAGTCTCCTGGGTCTTTCCTGCTCATGCTGTTCCCTGGGACTGTCTCCACATCACTCTGGTTCTTATAAGCTAATGCTGCCTCTCCCTTCTAACATGCTTGTTGCAAGGGCTTGCTGATAAGAGTGCAGGACCACTTTCAAAACCATCTGACCTGTATCTTGCTGCACAGAGAACATCCCATTCTGGGACCTGAGCACATCCTGAAATATTGAACAGGGAAGGCTGTTTCACATGGCTGAGGCACGTGCAGGCCTAGCACTGGTGACATAGCTACTTCCTGTTTGCAAAATGGGCTGGTCTCTTCTGAAAATACACAGCAGATACTCCCCAGCCTCCCCATTAGTGCTTCTTATTCATCAGTTACATGCTGGCTGTGGCTGAGCCGCTGGGTCCCTGGTTTCTTAGCAGCTCTGACCAGCAGTTGTACTGCATGAGAACCAGTCACCTCTCCAGTGAGGCTGCAGGATTGACTTGCACAGCTTGATGGTGGCTGCTTTTGATAGTGTGTCTCAAAGGAGCAGGTAGTCCAGCTGCAGGAGATGGCCATCACTCTCAAATGCTACTCCTGCCACTCAACCCCAGGACTCACCTCAGCAAGGGTCCAGCCTGCCAAGACCAGGTACAGCTTAAAGGAGGCTCCAGATAGGTAGAAGGAACCTAGCAAGCTGAGATCGTAACTACAGCAAAGTGGATTCTGCAGGTGGTCAGGAATGAAAGTGGGTTGGGGAGGCAGGACAAGACTAGACACTAAGCAATTTTCAATCACTTGCAGGACTGGAATGGTCTGCTGGACTTTGATGGTTGCAGGGAGTAACTGGCTGTTAAATGATTAAAGTACAAAAGAATACTCTTTCTACATAGATTGAGAGCTTCTAGGACTGGAAGGGACCTTGAGAGGTCATAGAGTCCAGTCCCCTGCCCTCATTGTAAGACCAAATACTGTCTAGACCATCCCTGATAGACCTTTATCTAACCTACTCTTATATCTCCAGAGACAGATTCCACAAGCTCCTTAGCCTCAGCATAAGCCTAAGGCACAAAATGACTTACCTAGCAAGGGGGACACAAGGCAATAAGTCTTCAAGTATATTCAGAACAAGAGACAAAAGGAAGTGCAGGCCCTCTACTTTCCAGGGAAGGAGAGTTAAAAATTGATATCAAGAAAGCTGAGGTGCTTAATGCCCATTTTGCCTTTCTTAACTAGAAAGAAGTTACTCAACACAATATTGACAACAGGGAAGGAATGCAAGCTAAAAATAGGGAAAACAGGTTACAGAATATTTATACAGATGTGACCTAGTCAGTAGGGCCTGATGAAATTCATCCTAGGGTACTTAAGCAACTAGCTGCAGCAATCTTAGAGCTGTTAGTAATTATCTTTTGAGAATTCCTGGAGGATGAGAGGTCCCAGAAGACTGGAGAAAGGTACTATGTTTGCTCGTCTCTAAAAAGGTGCACAAGGAGGACCCAGGGAATTATAGATTAGTCAGCTTAACTTCAATAAATTTGCTCCAGATCTTTCCAGGTATCGAACAAGACCCTTGTAAGCAGCTGGAGGGTAATAGGGTTTATAAGGAATAGCTAGCAAGGATTTGTTAACAAATCATGCCAAACCAACTTAATTTCCTCCTTTTGAAAGGATTACTGATCTAGTGGATGGAGGGAAGCAGCAGATATGACAGACCTTGGGTTTTTTAGTGTGGCTTTTAACAGTTTTGCATGACATTCTCATAAAGCAAACTAGGGAAATGTGATCTAGATGAATTTACTATAAAGTGGGTGTACAACTGGATGAAAGACTGTACTCAGAAATTACCATTACCTTGCTGTCACATTGGAAGGGTGTATCTAGTAGGTCCCACAGTGGTCAGTCCTGGGTTCAGTGCTGGCCAATCTTCATTAATGACTTGAATAATAGAGTGGGGAGTAAGTCTATGATCCTTGCTGATGGAAGGGGTTGCAAGCACTTTAGAGGAAATTTAAACTTGTCCTCTAATTTGTCATGGTCCTTTTGAGTTGGTCTAAAATCAACAAGATGGAAGTCCTAAAGACAGTACAAAGTACTTCACTCACAAAGGAAAAATCAAATAACTGGCTGGGGGGGCGGGGGTAGCAGTACTGAGAAGGAGCTGGGGATTAGTGGACCATAAACTGATTTCTCAATGAGATGCAGCTGCAAAAAAGCTAATGTTCTAGGGTGTATTAAGTGGACTCTTGTATACAAGACACAGGAGGTAATTGTCCTGCTCTACTTGACACTAGTGAGGCCCCAGGTGGAGTACTGTCCAATTCTGGGCACCACACTCTCTAGGAAGGATGTTGACCAATTGTAGAGAGTCCAGAAGAGCAACAAAAATGATAAAAGGTTTAGAAAACCTGACCTATGAGGAAAGATTCGGGGAGGGGGACTCTCAATGTTTAGTATGGAGAAAACACTGAGGTGCAACCTGATAAGTCTTCTAATACTTCAAGGGCTGTTATAAAGAGAAGGGTGATCAATTGTCCTCCCTTCACTGGACATGGAGAACAAGTAACAGGCTTAATCTGCAGCAAAGGGAGGTTAAATTCTGGAGCAGGCTTCCAAGGAGGAGGTTGTAGAGTCCCCATCATTGGAAGCTCTTAAAAACAAGCAGGACAAACACCTGCCAGAGATGGTTTAGGTTTCCTTGGCCCTGGCACAATACAGGGCTGGGACTTGATGACTTCTTGAGGTCCCTTACAGCACTACATTTCTAAGGTTCTGTGACTCTTCAAGGTCTCCAAGATGCTGGACAGAAGACCAAAGTCCAGAACCTTGGTGCAGGTGGGGTTGAGCACCATGGAGAGTGCTGACAAGTTCATCAACCAAGGCTGCAAGCAGAGTGGAAACTGTAGCAAACAATGTCCTTTGACAGCCAGGTCTTACTGCTCAGGCATGACAGCCATGTCATGCCTATGGATGCAGAAAGCCTCTATGCACTGTGACCAACTTCAGGAGCTAGCAGATCTATGTACTGCCTGCATCACTATATGGGTCAGGAGTCTGGACCCTCATACAGGCAGATCTGGGTCTGTTAGAGGTATTCCATATGCACTGTTTATGCCAAATTCTGAGCATAAAGTGTGCAAGAGTCAGTCAAGCCAATCTTGCTGAGATCTGGGCTTCCTCCAATTGCTTACCACATTCAGAAGTGGCATTGTGTGCTCTTTGGGTATGTCACCAGGAGGGACACAGACCTCAGCATGCAGTGCTCTAAGCTGTCCATTGAGGCATCAAGGGGTGCATGCCCTGAGCCTGCCTGGTATTGTCCTCTGGGCAGGATTGAGCCAGAGATGGGAATGTCACTCTGATGCCATCAACTTGCTCCAGCAGCAATCAGTGGACTATGTGCATGTGGTGTGACCCTGTCACCACTGGGGCTTTCAGTGAACATTCTCCATTGGTCTTGCTGTCATTCAGACTTTGAAGTCTGTACCCAGAGGCCTAGTTCTGGGCCCCCTTACTTTGAGAAACATACTGAAGTCCCTGCTAGACCCTTCCTGCACTGGTAATAGGGATGGAGCAGGTCTAACTTCTGTGACCCAGCAGGATGTTCTGGGACTGTGTAATCGTACCAAGAAGATGGGCTCTTCACCTAGGCAAAGATGGCCTCTTGGCTTGTGGAAAGCTGCAGTATTTCAATCCCATTGTTTGCTCACTGTGCACCCGGCAAGATATTTGAGGCAAAGCAACTTATCTCAAAATAATTCCCAGTCAGACTAATCCATGCTCATGCATTTCTGAGCAATGTCTCAGGCCCTGCTCGTGTCTGGGTCATGCTGAGGGGCAGGGTCTGGGCCTAGTAGAGCCATAAAGGAGCACATGCAGCTCTGTTTTGGGTGTGAACAGTGATTGTACATGGTTCTGTAACTTGCACCCCCTGAGATGCTGGCTCAATGAACAGCTCTGGGCACACCCCATCATGAGGGAGGCGCTACAGTGCCTTTGACGGTGAGCCAGCAGTTTGAATGACCTCTCTAGCTAGACACTGCTCCCCTCAAATCTAGGAAGCTTGAGTTCTAGAGCTAGAGCAGCATTTCCCCCCGCCCCATGAACATGCTGCCATAGGCATGATGCTCCCCTCTCGCCAGGGAAAAGCCTGGAATGCAAAGGGTGATGTGGTGAGGCCATGTCTCTGAAATGCATGTGCTACCTAGCGCTCCAGCCTCTGCCTGCCTGGCACTCAGTGTGGGCCCATCTTTTCTAGGTACGGACGCTCTTTGTCAGTGGCCTTCCTGTGGACATCAAACCCAGAGAGCTCTACCTGCTCTTCCGACCGTTCAAGGTGAGTGGGGGGAGGGATAGCTCAGTGGTTGGAGCATTGGCCTGCTAAACCCAGGATTGAGTTCAATCCTTGAGGGGGCCACTTAGGGATCTGGGGCAAAATCAGTACTTGGTCTTGCTAGTGAAGGCAGGGGGGCTGGACTCAATGACCTTTCGGGGTCCTGTACCTATCTAGGAGATAGGATATCTCCATTAATTTAAAGTGGGCTGCCCTGCTAGCAACATGCCGGTTGGTCCTCCAGCCAGCCTGCCTTGGGCAGCACAGGCTGCCATCTGCTTGAGGGAGTGTTTCTTTTGGGGTGGGGGGCAGGGGAGATGTTACTGGGTCTGAAAGTCTAATGGGAAGAGTGAAGGGACCTGGGCTGCTGCTTAGTGGGGGTCAGGGAGGAGCCCTTCAGGGTAACCTGGTAGATGCTCAGTCACAATAGTGAGGCATCTAATGATGGTGGCAGTAAAGTAACAGAAGCCTCAGCTGGCTATCCCTTCTGTCCCAGGCACTGCAGGCCATCAATCCCTTGCTGTCCTGAGCCGAGGGTCAATGGGAGCTTGGAGCTCACCATACCCCTCTGATAACCCAGAAGGTGCCCCTTGGGACCCACTGGTGGTTCCCCCTTCACAGGAGCTCATACCAATGTACTAAAAGCCACTGCAGGCACTGCTCACTCCCCACTGCACCGGAGAACCCTAGGGAGCAGGATGTCCCATGTTCTAGCTGCGGTTTGCTACTCTAAGGGGAGGTGAAGAGCTCCCCTGCTCCTAATGTGCAGAGGGGTGAAATGTCTGACCCAGGTGAGTCAGATTCCGTGTGACAGCTGAACTTTTTGCTTGGTAATCACAGAGGTGCTGGGAAGTAGCTAAGCTGGGTAGAGATGCTGAACAGCTACCAAGGCAACTTCCCCCTCCAGTGTACCTGGAGAATAGACTTCCTCGGGGAGGAGGGGGCTGTACACCCTCCCTCCCTCCCCCCACTACACACTGCTATGGCACAGACTCCTCCTCCTCCTCTTTCCAAATGCTGCCAGTCCTATCTGGATGAGAACATACTGTGCCTTGGGCTAGCTCTTGTTCTAGGCTATAGGGGTTGGGGGCACAAGCAATACACTGCCACAGACTTGTGTAGAGACATCCAGGCTTGCATGGGGTGCTGCCTCTAGTGTTAATGACCCTGTGAGACCCTGTGCACAGCACTGCACAAACCTGATCACTGGTGGCACAACAAACCATCTCCCCTGGGTAAACCTGGGTGTGTGTAACTGGTCCGGGAAGCTATAAACCCAGACTATAGTCTGAAACTAAACTGATGCTGGTGCCCTGGTCTGCAGTCTGTATAGCTGAGGCCAGTGGGTTTTCAGCCTGTGGACCCCTGGGGTCCACACCTCCATTCAAAATTTTTTAGGACTCTGCAAAAGAAACAAGGTTGAAAACCACAGGTCTAGGCAGTGCTGCTGCTCTGGATGCATGGGGACCAGAAACAATAGCTGACTGGGACCAGATACAGGATACCCATTCCAGTATTCCTCCTGTTCAGTAACCTCTTCATTGGCCGGCAGTAGCATCCACTGGGCTACTGGGGTTAATGTGCCCCCCCTCCCAGTATCTAGCTTCCTGAACAGACTCGGAATCAAAAATGTAACTTAGGATGCCTCCTCTGTCCATCCTCCTAAAGACCTGACTCCTGCTGTGAGCAGCCCTGGGGAAGCTGCTTAGCTACTAAGTAGCTTTTTGGAGGTTCTCCAGACCTCTGTCCAGCATGCACAGGTGGGAACGGAGCACTCCTAATGCCTGCCAAGTCCAGCAGGGTGGGAGGTGAGAAGAGGGACCAGGCTGTCCTTGCCTGGGAGGAGAGGCTAACAGCTCAGACACCACAGCTGGATCATCCAGAGTTATGCTTCAGGAACTAGCTGGGGCTGGTGGAAGATTCCTGGAGTCAGTTGTGGTGTTGGGACACCTCGCTGGTTGCCTTACCTTTAAGGAGTCCTAACTTTCTGGTCTCTCTCCAGGGCTATGAAGGGTCACTGATCAAACTAACATCAAAACAGGTAACTCTCCTTATTCTATCTCCTTTCCCCTTCCCTGGGCATTAGTTCCATGGCTTCTGGTGTAGCAGGGATTAGGTTCCCAGGATGGGGCTCGGGGAGGATGCCACAGTCCCTGCAGGGTGAACTGCCATCCTCTGGTAACCTCTCTCCTCAGTCCCTGCTCACACCTGCATCCAGACCCTGGCCCCCAGCCCATGGTGCAGCTTTCCCAAATGTCTTCCCAGCCACCTCTGCTGCATGGCTGGGCAGCAGCAAGCCTTGGAGCAGGACCATCAGTGACTCCCCCTAGGGAGTAGAATGCTGAGCCCCCACCTGGCCTGTTCCACTTCTTGTCCAGTTGAGCCCAACCTGCCAGCTCTTGTAGGCAGCAAGCATCTTGCTGGCAGACTAGACCAGAGGCCTTTTTGATGATTCAGTGGTGGGGCAGAGGCAGTCTATGGCTGTGAAGAGATCCTTTGGGTGAGGGTTGCCCAGCCTAGGCAGGACACAGGCCTGTGAGTATCGGACAAGCTCAGCAGGTGCTGCATTGCCTCTGCCTCAGATGTGGGAGCTGTCACTCCAAGCTCACATGGCCCTACTGTCCCTCTTACTGAGAGCTGTGCTTTTGTGTGAACAAAGCTGGCATGCAGTCCAGTGCAGCCCCCCTCTGACAATGCTGGGGAGGGGTAGCCACAGAACCAGTCTCCTGCTGGGTCCCTCCTGTTTGGGAGGCAAGTGCTAGCAGGAAAGCCTAGCAACAGGAGGCAGAGCTGTGATACTGCCAACTCCGAGCCTCTTCGTGTAAATCCCCATGGGTAACTGGGGCCCTCTTGCCCTAGGTACAGGGAGGTGTCGCACCTCCCTATGCAGAGCTCCCCAGACTCCATAGATGGGGGAGGTGGGGGGGATGAATGCTTAATCCAGGACCTGAGCTGTCTGGCTGCATGGAAGTAGTGGTGTCCCCTCCCACCCCCAAGGCTTAAGCACGTGCTGGCTCTTGCAGAGGTGGGGTAATTTGCTGCCCTGTGTCTGTGCAGCTCTCTGAAGATGTGAAATCACCACAGGTGAGATAAAGGGGCTGGGATTTGACACTCTGCTCCTCAACCCTTATGACTTGTCTTCCCTGGCAAAACTGTCCCCCAAACCCAGACTAGCTCAAACATCAGCTGGAGCTGCAATTCAGACATTGTTCAGAGCCAGAGCTGAGGGTGACTGGATCTCTGTGCCCTTGAAAGAAAACCCTGTGGTGTCTGGTGCTGTGACAGGACTATGCAGATGGATCATTAGGCCAAACAGGGCAGCCCTGGGCCCAGGCCAGAAGAAGCACCAGGGGGGCAGGAATTGGCAGCATAGTATGACTCTTGGCCTTTTTCTCTGCATTCTCTGCCCCTAAGTTATGGTTTAGAGCAGCCACACTGGCCTCTTGCTGCTCTCTGAATGCTGCAGGATTCTGATCTGACTGGTGCTGAGGCTATGGTGCTGGCAGCTTTGGGAGGGAGTAGCAGGGGAGGAGGCGCTCAGACCTAATCTCCTGTTGTCTCCTCCAGCCAGTAGGTTTCGTTACCTTCGATAGCCGATCTGGTGCTGAAGCAGCAAAGAATGCCTTAAACGTATGTACCCATCCATGACTCCAGCTGAGGCCTCGTGTGGCTAACCAGCCCCAGTGTTCATTTGGAGATCTGTAACCCCCACCTCTAGCAGCTGATGCTTAGTGCCACTTATAACCAGGCAGCAAGCTAAATGGATACTTGGCTTGTCAGCAGCATGTGAAGGATCCCCGCCCCTCAGCTATACCCTGAAGCATAGGCTGGCAAGGACCAGTACCTGCACTAGGATTTCAGCCTGTTCTAGAAACTAGCTATAGCCAATGCAATGCACTTCATTTGCTCAGAACTCCTCCACAGCTAGGGAGCATTGCATTGGCCTATCTGCTGATTGATACACTAATGAGCTGGGCAAAGCAAATACTGGACAGCTTCCCTCTGTTCACTACCAGCTTTCCCTCTCCCTTCCCCATCACACCTTTCTGCTAAAGACTAAAGGCCTCCTGTCCTCTGGTTCTCTAGCTCGGAGGCAAAGGTTTTTCACCACCTGATCACAACAGCCTGCCTCATTCATAACCATGTGGTGAAATGAGATACTAGCTGCAAAACCGGCTTGTCAGACTGGAGTGTAGGGGTGGCATAACTTGGGTGAGTTCTGGCTCCCCTTGGTTGTGGGATAGTCAAACAAGCAGAGGGTGAGTCTTAGATTCCAAGGCCCAAAGATCCCTGTGATCCTCTCGTCAGACCTCTGTATAGCACAGGCCAGAGACTCCCCACAACAATTCCCTTTGAACTAGAAAAACCGCCAATCTCCTCTGGAGAAGCTGCTACAATCCTTGAAGTTGTTCTGATGGTTAATTACCCTCACTAGTTGAAGTGTACACCTTATTTCAGGTCTGACTTCATCTTGCTTCAATATCTAGCCATTGGGTCTTGTAACTTTCAGTAGCTAGACTGAAGAGCCAGTTACCAAACTTATTCTAAATGTAGGAGCTTGTAGGCAGAGCTCAGTGGTGCCTTTAATGCCCTAATTTGTGGATGAAGATGTGAGGACTACAGACCCCTGGTTCTCTATTGCTGGGTAGCAGTTAGCTACACCCCTGTGGTAGCCCTGCCAGAGGAGCGCTGCCTTGCTGTTAATGCTGAATGGCTAGGTGCCATCAAGCAGGGAGGGTGACAAGTCAGTTCAGCAGGAAGCTATCATGGATCAAACTTCTGAAGCCCTTGGTTTACAGTGGGCCCCATAGATCTGTGGGGGGTGGTGGTAGGGGTTTATGGCTTCATTTCCATCACCATGGCATCTGGGTGTCTGCCAGGGACCAATGTATCTGAGCTAGCAGGTGCACTGATGGCATTATCCTTGCTGGGATGTGATGAGCAGTGCACACCTGTTCAGCCATGTATGCCGCCTCCTCCTCCCCGTTGCATAGCATCCTGCCCCTAAGCCATCTAATAAATCCTGCTAAGGTGACAAGCCAGGCTATTGCATGTTGGGGAGCACATCTTGCCTCCCCCTACTTGAGCTGAGCAGCTGCTGCCTGTGGCTTGCTCAGCCTCACACTCCTGTCTTTAGTGCAAGAAGTTTGCAGCCTTTTCTGCACTAGTGCACCCCCACCCAGTGTTACCCGGCATCTAGCCTTGCCCATTGCCCACAGGAGCAAATGTCAGTGTGAACAGGGCTCTCCAATCTCCAGCACAGTCAATTTTGCCCTGAGCAAAGCTCACCCACTCTCTGAAAGATGGTGCTGTGTGGGGCTTGGTCCTGTCCACATGCTTCCAACACCAGATCAGCTGTACCTGTTGGCAAGCTGGAAAAATTCCCCAGTGCTAGAGAGCCAGCTCTCCTGGGTGAATCAAGCACTCCATTTCTGGTCTAGTGTCCCCTGGCCTCACCCTGCTATGCTCTGCATAACTGGCTGTCACAGGTTGGGCTCTGGTCCCTAGCCAGGGAGAGGTGACTAGTAACAGCTTATCTGAACCCACCTGGGGAGTGGAATTGGCTTCAGTGCAAGACTGTGCTCCCCTCCTGCAGGGTATCCGCTTCGACCCAGAGAACCCCCAGACCTTGCGGTTGGAGTTTGCCAAAGCCAACACCAAGATGGCAAAAAGCAAGCTGATGGCCACACCAAACCCCACCAACATCCACCCTGCCCTGGGCGCGCACTTCATCGCACGGGACCCCTGTGAGTAGCCACCAGGGCCACGCTGGGCAAGGAGGGGCTCTGCAGCTGCTTCCCTTGTTGCTGTCTAGATGGCCATTAATGCCCATGTTGGGCAGGAGCCTGGCCTCAGATGTGCCAGTGTTACAGCTGCAGGCAACAGTCTGGCTGTTGGGAGGGCACTGAAATGTGGGAGAGCTTCACCCACAGCTGCAGCAGGACCTGCCTGTGGGCTCTGCTGGGGTCAGCCTGCTCCATGTACAAGGGCTTACCAGGTGTAGATAGCAGCATGAGTACTCTGAACTATAGAGGCTGTCAGGGTTAGCCCCTCCTGCTCTCCACAGTAGCTAGATCTCCCCTCTGGGGCAGGAGAGGAGGTGGCATTACTGGCATTAAACTTCTCAGCACATCAAGCCATAACTTTCCTAAGCTTGATCACTGGTGGCTGAGCTGCACCAGGCTCTGGGTGCAAGCTATTCAGGCCATGGAGGCAGAGGAGTGGCTCTCCAGAGGAACTCCCGTTTGGTTAGATCTCTAATCTTCCCTGAGGGACTTCTCCTGGAAGCAAAGCAGTGCTGAGCCTTGGTCTTGCTGCTGCAGAGTCCAGCTCTGTTCCCCCTTGGCGCACGTCTCAATACTGACTGCTGTTTCTAAATGTCTAGATGACCTGGCTGGAGCAGCTCTCATTCCAGCATCTCCAGAGGCGTGGGCTCCCTACCCACTGTACACCACAGAGCTAACCCCTGCCATCCCCCATGCTGCGTTCACATACCCAGCCGCTGCTGCCGCCGCTGCTGCCCTTCACGCTCAGGTGAGTCATGCCCAGCTGTCCTGCTCCCAAGGGAAGCCCTCCCGCACTTTCTGGAACTATTAACTTAGAGCCTTCTTTGTTCCTCCTCCTCTTTGTATGTTTGGCATGGTCATTGGCTTCTGCACCTTGACCCACCTACCGAGCAGAGGAGTGAATTCCTGTGCTGCTGCTCTAAGTAAACAGGCTGTGCTGGGGGCCCTGATGAAAGTGCAGGCTACTGAGTAACAGGCAGCCTGAGGTCACCTGCCCCATGCAGTGAAAGCCCGACACTTCTGGCACTGCAGGTTCAGTCGGCTTGGCTGCCGACAGCAGGGGAAGCCTGCCCTTGGGACTTGGCTGGCTGGCAGTGCATTGAGCCAAGCAGAATCCTGCTCAGCAGGGCTGGTGGGAGGAAATGCTGGCAGATCAGTAAGCTGTGCAACCTGCTTATGGAGGGGCTGGTCATGACTGTAGCCAAGGCTGCATTCCATTTGCCCGTGGGGCAGGGGTTCCATAGGAGTTAGTTAAATTAGGTACTTGGGAGATTCAGCTTTGTCCTGAATGGTGCTTTTCAAACTTCTCATTGCTAAAACTAATAGGAACTTTGTGCACAGGCTGTGTATGAATCAACTCAGTAATAGCTAGGCAGAGTTAATGGTTATGCTATAGACAAGGTCAGGTCAACAGCTCAGATGACAAATCCAAACTCAACTAATTCTTGCCCTTCTATAGCTTGTCTGTATGCAGTAATCCTGTTTCCAGTAATGAGACTGGTCATGTGTCAGGACACTTCACTGGTAGATGTCTCTGCCCACCTGTTACTGATCTCTGATGTTCTGTGGCTATGTGCTAGCTTGGGGAGCAGTATTCAAAAGGCTCCCCATGGCTCTGCTGCACCAGGGCAACCCTGGAGGGGAACTGAGGCAGAAGCCTTGGCACCCATAGGGAGCCTGGTTCTTGAGCCCCATGTCCTAGCTCCAGTCTGGCAAGGACCAGATTTAGAAGGTTGCTGCAGCTGCTTTGATAAAGCTTCACAACTGGAGCTTGCAGGCTGCTTTGGCATGCCTATGAATCTGCCCTTTCAAAGTTAAAATAAGACTTAAGGCTGTTACTACCAGCTTTTTGAATATGGAGCCATTGCATTATTTTTGGGTTCCTTGTTAAAGGTTAGTATCTGCCAATGTTCTGTTAAAATCCAAGGAATTCCAAGACCACCTACACTAAAATGAAACTAAGGTTGAGTGAATCCCTAAGGACAAAGTACCAGGATGTTGTAATGGTGCCCATACCAGTGACTAACCCCTCCCCCCCCCCCCACCTGTTGAGAGTTGCACTGAAAACCAATCCAAACATGTTAAGGTTTTGGATGCTTCTGCCTGTAGTGATGCCCTGCAGGGGAGGAGGGATAAGAACCTATTGTATCTTAAACTTTTAACTCTAATCTGGGACCCACAATGTGCTAACTTAAACCTAGCATGCCATCACCCTGGGGAGGCAGAGGAAGGCAGGTTCAGTGGTTAGAGCCCTGCCTGGACCATGGAAGAGCAAGAATTGCCCCCTGATCTGCCACAAATAGCCTTGGGTGACCTGAGCAAGTCACCATGGCTCTGCCTCAGGTCCCCATCTGGAAGTGGGGATTAAAAGCCCAGCCCTGTCTCCCAGTGTGGGGCCACAGGGCTGTGAGGCCATAGAGGTACCATGGATAGTTAACCTTGTTGGAGCCTCAGCTGTGTATTGCTGCGTCTTAATGTGTCTGGGTTCAGCTGATGTGCAGCGAAGGGCCATGGTTAGTCACTCTTGTTGTTGCCATGTAGCTCTGAGGCATTAGCACATGTAGGCTTGTGTCCTGTATCCTATCCATCAGGACCCATCAAAGACTGAACTATGGCAAGACCTTCTCTGCCCAGCTGGGCCTCTTTAGCCAATGGTTTGGCATTTTACTACATAGGTGAGGTCCAGCAGGCTAATAAGCTGCATCGGGCTGGACTGAGCAGCGGCCTGCCCTTGTATTGACTGACAATCACTTGGTTGCTCAAGTCCCTGCACTTCTGCTAAATATCAGAAGTACACATGCCCATTCTAAATGGGCCAGTAGTGACTTGGGATACCGTACTCTAGAATGACTAGGGTTCATAGATGATTAGTCAGCATACTGCGCCTCTCCATACAGCCCTAGGCTGTTGTGAGATGTAGTTGCTGCAACTGCTTCAAGAATGGCCTTGAAAGGGGAATCCAGTTGGAGGCTTACCCAGACCAGGAAGCCTCACCTACCCTTCCCTAGGACTTGAGCCAGAGGGGCACAGGCACCAACTTTCCTTTGTGCTGGGAGGTGCTCAACCCCAGGCCCTGCCCCCACTCCATCCCTTCCCTGAGCATGCCATGTACTTGCTCCTCTCCCATCTCCCCCCAGCCTCCTGCATGCCACAACAGCTGATTGCAGGTGTGGGGAGAAGAGGTGCTGATAGGGGGGCTTTTCTCCATGGGTGCTCCAGCCCCAGAGCACCCATGGAGTCAGCACCTATGCAGAGGGATATTAATGCACTTGCTTTACAAGATCAGCTCTGCCCATCTAGCTCCTGAGTCCTCTAAAAGCTTCTCAGTTGGCTACACTTCTACAGGGCTGGTGTGTCTAGAATTCCTTAGATGCCCTGCAGGAAGCGGTATTAGAGCTAATGCCCACTAGCAGGAGTTCTGCCCTAGGCAGTGCTGCTATGTTGTGCTGGGTGGTTGGGCAGCTGGCACTAACTACAATGCAGCCAGAATGGAGCAGTAATGCGTTAACTTCTTCAAAACTGTAGAAGTCTGTACAGCTCATCCACATGCAAGTAGCTGTCACCTGGCCTTTCCCACTCTGGGGGCAGGGAGGGAAGAGGAGTGTCTGGCAAAGGGCTGTAGCTTGATCAGGTCTCTTCATTAAAGTAGTTTTGGAAGAATATCCTCTCCTGCAGCTCTGAGTCACTACCAGGTTTCTCCCCATGCTGTGATCTCTAGCTGGCATGTCCTCAGAGGCATTCCCACGTAGTGCACAGGTGCCCAATAAAAATGTATGGAGTTAAACATTACTTAGCTGCTGCCAGCTCTGAGCCACCTAATCCATAGGCAGGAGCCCTCTGCTGCTGCAGAGGCCCAGCTGGGTGGGGCTGCAGGGTGGGGGTGAGATTAGATTTGAGGACTGTAGTTCTTGAATTGTGGATAAAATCTTTGCCGAGTAAGTGGCCTTCAAACCCTGTTCTCAATATGCAACAAAACAGACCACTGGCAGAGTCCTCCCTCCACACTGGTTACGGTGGCTAGTAGAGAGGGCACTGGTCTTACTGTGACGCAGCATACAAGCACATACACCATTCCACAGGTTCATCACTGCAGCTGCTCCTTCCCAGGAAATCAGGGTGAGCAAAAATGCTGGTCTGCCTGGATGTTCCCCTGAAGTGTGGGACCTAGTCCCCCTACACTGGGCTTCAGCAGCTTCATAGCCTGTTGGAGATGCTCCTGTAACTCTGTCTTGGGCCAGGAGACCTAAAATGTGCACTATGAACCCATAACAAATTGTTAAACTACCCCAAGTAAAGCCAGACCTGTGACATGTGGCTCTTGTCCAGGCACATGGCTCATCTGCCCATCCCTGAGGGATCCCATCCCCTGGTGGTGTGGCAGCCAGAGGGGTGCATACTATTTGCCTTCTTGGATATAATGCTAGGAGTGACTCACTGTAATAGCTTCAGCCAAGCTATTGCTCTATGGGATTGGTGCACATGTCTCCTGCTCAATGGCAAGTGATGGTATAAGGCTGGTCTAGGGTCTCATCTAGGGTCTCCAGTAGCTCTGAAGCTTTCAGTAACCTGCTCATTGACGATTACCCGTCTCACTATTGATACTATCTGGGCATTGCTGTGGCCCTCCCAGAGATGATGCCATAGCCCAATGGGCTGGGGCACCTGTGACAGCTTATTGTGTGATGCTGCCGGCTGCAAGCCTCTGCCAGGGGGACTCCCACAGTGGCAAATCACTGACTTAAATTATCCCATCTGCCTTCCCTCCCTCTCTCAAATCCCTCCTTTGATGTCCCTAGTGAACGCCAGCCATGATGCCAGCGCAGGCTAGCCCTGAAGCTCAGAGCTGTCCCTGGAGATGGGACACCCTAGTGATGCCTAATTGCCGCTAGTGGAGTGGCTGTCCTACAGCTTCATTCCTAAGCGTGATGGCCCCCACGTCTGGAAAGACTGGTAAGGTAACCATCTCTTCTCCAGGGTGCACAGCGGGATTTGCAAGCTTCTGCCCATCTCTGTAGCCCATATCTCCTTGGCAATCAGTGCATGGGCCTCACGCTACCCACCCACCAGAGCCTGGGGAATGAGATGCCAGGCATTCTTTCTAACCCACATCTCCAACTTGGCAGCACAATATGGCACCACAGCATGGCACCATCTTACATTGAACTTCTCCCCAACAAGCTAGGATTTACTTAGCCCTGAGGGGCAAGGTGGGAGGAATCTCATTGAACCATGGCAGGAAAAACCTGCTACTAGGCATCAAAGGAGTTCATCTCTCCCCAGCCACCCGCTCCAAGGCGATTGGCCACACCCTTGTCTCACTCATGTCACATGGTGGGGAGGCGAGCGACGTGATGACGGAAGCACACAACTAAATCCTCTACTGTGCACGTTCGAGAACAGCACTTGTCAGGCACTTCCTCCCAGACTCTCCGAAGGGGATAGAGCCAGCCCCACGCTGTCAGGTCTAACCTTCACCTTTCCTCCCCAGTTAGCGCAAACAAAGCCAGCTCCTGCCTGGGGCTCAGCTCCTCTCGGCAGATGGCCGGTGTTGCCAGGAAGGCCGCTCCAGAGAGCCCTAACTAATGTGGTGTGGAGGATCTGGGGCGAGGGGGAGCTGCACAGAGCAGCACAACAATGCGTTCCCCAGTGCAGGGGGAGAACATGGGGTTTTTGCAGCAGAACATCTGCCACTACCATGATGCTCTGCTCATGCAGAGGGGTTAAGGGCGCCGTGTGGGGATGCTCTGGCTCTCCTGGCCTGAATTGCAGTAGGAGGAGGTGCAGGGAGGCTCTTCCTGCTCCTGGAGTAATCTCTGAGCCAGTGTGGGGACCAGGACCCTTGGTTCCTGTGGTTTAGGTACTGCTGTGGGCATGGCAGGTCAGTTTGCCCTATACCAACATGGCCCTTCAGGAAGGGGCCAGGCTGGGTCCAGGGCTAGACTGTGGCTTGATCTAGAAGTGCAAGGTAAAGATCTGCTATAACCTCTACTGCTGCAGGGTCAAAGGGTCAGAGTGTTTGCTAGAGTCTGGCCTAGGCTCTGTGTGGGGCTCTTGTAATATCGGTAACTTGTTCAATAAGCATTACATTCCTGTGCCTGGCCCCTGGTGGCACAGCTCTCCATAAAGGAGCCCCTCATTGAGCTCAGAGCAGGCAGACTGGGTGAGCCAACCTGCTTCTGGAAGCAGGCTTCAGTGACTGAAGCCTTCTCCAACTCCCTCATGCTTTACCCTGGCTTCTCTTGCCTGCCTTCTCCTGGCTCTTGGCTGCCTTTGCAGTCCTGTATGTAGCAAAGACCAGAAACAAGAGCCAAAGTATTCCCCATGGACACAGATTGGACGCAGGTGGAGAGTGGAGCACAAGGGGATGTACTCTTCCAGCAGTGCAGCCTGTCAGAGGCCAGCTGCTGCAGCAGGCATGCTGCAGCCTCTGGGTCCAGCCACAGAGCTACCCAGCCTGGAGGTGACACATGCATGGCTCGTTGGTCAGCTCCCTTCTCCAAAGGGGTGCTGTCCCCTGAGTGAGCTGGAGGTGGGAAAGGGATTCCTCCATGCAACATTTGGCCCTCCAGACTTGGTGAGGAGGCAGCAGAGCCTAAGGCTTTCCGACAACTGGAGGCAGAGCCCATCGATGGAAGGGGAGGTCAGTGCCTAGCTACACACTTCCTCCTCCCAGCTGGTATTTCTGCCTTGCTCAGGCTTAATGGGAGCCAGCTGCTCACTTGAGGGCTAGTGTCCTGCTGGAACTGAAAGTGGTGACTGCATCTGTAGGGAGGAGCTGCAGCTGACTACCCTGGTATTCGTGTTCCTGGTGACCTGCCAGCAGGTAGATGTCAGTGAGTGTGTGTGTGTGGGGCGGGGGGTTTAGGTAGGTGGGACAGATCCTGGGGGACTGCAGGTGATGTCTCCAGAGAAGAGCAGATGCTCAAATAGCTCTCCAGCTCCTGCTGAAGAGGACAGCCATTGTAGTGCTGTACAGTGACTTCAGCTATGCCATGTGGCTGGGTGGCAGAAAGGTCAAGTAGTGTGAGCACTGAGGTGACCCATAACAATTGGTATCTTGGGGGTGAGCTTCCAGGGCCATAGGACTGTTGAGGAGTCCTGGTCTGAAGCCATCTGCAGAGTATCCAGGACATTAATCTCATGTAGGAAGCCAAACCCATCTGACCCTTTCCCAACAGAGGAGAGCCTGGAGCTGGAGAGCTTGTGTTGCATTGGCTTTGAGGGTCTGGTGCACAATTGTCCTTTCAATATGAGGTCCAGCTTCTTCCTCTGGAGAAGGCCGTGACTGTTACCTGTTAGCAGTTCTGACTTTCTGCAGAGAATGCAGAGTGGCTCTAATACTTGGCTGGGAACCAACATCTAGTCCAGCATAATGTCTTGCCTTTGCAAGTCTGTCACATTCAGTTGTTACCTGCCCAGTAGGATGAGAGCGCTCCAGATTCACATAGCTTGGTACCCATGTGGGATTGTCTGAAAATGGGCTTCATTAGTTGCCTAACACAGGCTAGGAATTCTTGGGCCTTCAGAATCTATTGAAAGGGGGGGAAGCCATTACTTCTTCAGCTACAACCAGCCTGCTCAGGCCTAGCTGAATCTAATTCTGACTCCTGCCCAAGTGGTAGATACCTTCCTAAGGCACTGTGTGGATGAGACCTGAATGGTCATTGAAATGCCTCTCCTGAGCAGCAAATTGTGCCCATGCATGCACCAGCCCTGGAAGGTGCTTGGTAGGGAAGAAGTGCTCTCATCACCCAGCTCCTTCCTGCCGCCCCAGAACCAAGGCTGCTAGGAAGCATGGGCATGTGTAGCAGGTCCTGCACTCCAGCTGGGCCCTAGGAGGCTCTTGCTGGAGACAGCTTGCCTGTCTGCAGCATGCTGCATGTTATGGTCCTAATGCCAGACCCTTCTGGCCAAATGCTTCTCCTTACATCCTAGCCCTCTAACACCCTGGGAACAGATGGGTTGAGTCAAGTGCCTGCTGCTGCTTAGTGGTGGTGGTGGGCTGATAGTACTTGGCTTTCCTTGGATGTTCACATCAGTGTGACTTCCGCTCTGGATTGCCCTGGCCCCAATGGCAGGGAGGCAGTGTCAGCTGAAACCACTCCCCCAGTCTCCTGTGTGGCAGAGGGCTCCCTTTGGCTCTTGCTGGGCTCATCTGGCATCTCCTCTCCCTCTTGTGAAGACCTCAGCCTGCAGGGCAGGGTGGTGGCTGGCATGTTGACCTGCAGCCTGCTGGAAGTGCAGCCGCTAACCGCCCACGGCTGGCTCTCTTGGCAGCTGGACAGCACATTCCTGCCTGCACTGTGCTGAGCACTCTCAGAATGTCAGGGCTGCAGCTTTTCTGTCAAGGCATAATCTGGAGACTGATTCCAGCCTGCAGCTGCCAGGTTGAGTCTGACTCCAGGAGACTCCTCTGGAGCAGTACTGGGGACTGTGAATTCATGCTAGTCCACTGCCAATCCCTCAGCCAGCTAGTCTGGCATCTAGGCCATGGTGCAAAGTCAGTCTCATTACTGGGCACGAGGGGCCTGAGGCTGACAGCTTGGACTTTTTTGTTAGCAAACTTTACTGTACCGTCCCCTAGAGGCTGCAATGGGTGCCTTTGATTGAACCTGCCTTTGAGAACTACTAAACTAGCTCTAGTCTGTGCAAGGTGGCAAGCAATGCAAAGGGCAGTAACTAGCGCCTCTGAGGTACAGGAGTGTACAGGTATGTCTACACTGCAATTAAACCCATGGCTGGCCCGTGTTAGCAGGAGTCAGCTGACAGGCTGCTTAATTGCTGTGTAGATGTTTGGGACTCTAGACCCTGTGAGATGGGAGGGTCCCAGAGCTTGTGTCTACACAGCAATTAAACAGCCCCTTAACCCCAATCCTGGGAGCTGCATCACAGGCAGGCTGCAGCTGTCTAATTGCTGTGTAGACATACCCTAGGTGGCTTCCCTGGGCTGGTCATCCTTTTGAGGGACTGTTTACCCATAGGGCTGAATAGTGGGAGTCCTGCACATAGAGCAGGTGGAGGATTGGGTTAGGTCAGGTGACTGAACTCCCCTCCCACAAACATTCCAATTTCTTCCCGCAGGCTGGAGTGAGTCTTCACCTGTCCTAATATTTCCCTGGTCAGAAATCCAGGGACAGGTCTGGCTGGGTTGGAGAGCAGTGGCCTGGCTGGGTCATCTTAGCTCAGCATATAAGAAGCCAGGAGGCTAACATTACAGCTCCCAGGTGACTTGAAGTGTCAAACTGCAGCTTGGATCACTGTCTATTACCAAGGAGTTAAAGCCTCTCTCTGCACAGAAGGACAAGAGGAAAACTCAAATCCTTGCACTGCACAATGCAGGAGAAGCACTTGGAGCTGCTGCAAGTGTGAGATGCTGGTTGCTGGCTCATGGGCTATTAGGTGGTAGATTCTCTACCACCTCTGCTGATACAGCCCTGTGACCTTGGAGAAGACCCTAAAATCTATCCCTGCTGATGCTCTGAAGTGGCAAGTAGCTGTGGTGTGCAAAGCAAGCTTGAGGGAACGCTGGTCTCTGTGCTCAGACAAGGGATGAAGAGCTGGGTGCCCAGAACTCTTCGCTAAATCACATCCTACAGAAACACTTTTGGGGCAAGGAAGCGGCCAAAGCTTCCACCTGGGATGAGGACCCTATTGTACTAGGTCCTGTGCAGACATAGGAATGTGGTCCCTGTCCTGAAGCTCTCCCAGTATGAGTGGGGTGGCCTCACAGAGGAAGACTCAGCAAAGCTCCTGTTTTTTGTTGGAATCATCTCTCCCAATGGCCATGGTGTGAACAAACAAATCCAAAAACCATCATTCACTCTCCTATCCAGTCCATTAGGACTGGAGCCAGCACTGGAGGATGAACAAGTGCCAAAAGTCATTCTATACAGGAGAATCCCAGCTGGATTTGTGTCAAATGTCTAATTGTGAAGGGCTACCTCTGAAGT